TTTCCCAGCCCTCTCCTCCCTCCGGCGGCTCCCAGTTGCAGTCTCCTGAACTGGAACAAATTAAAATTCTCCTACCCCGCCAGCCAGCCATGGCAAATGATTCCATCTGAGCAGACTACAGCCGCCCCCCGAGTAATAATGACAGAGCCCTGGAACCTGCTGCCTTCCGGGCAGGGCCAGCTGGGGTAAACCAGCCTGGTAGCGCATCTTTCAGCAGGCTTGGGCGTAAGCGTCTCTGCCGAGTGCTGGTGCAGCCCCATTGCCCAGGGCTCTTGGCTCTCCAGGGATCGCTAACCCTCTTCTCGGTGCCCTGCGCTGCTACTGAAGGGCTTAATGCTCCTGAACGGCATTTGGTAACTTGAATTCAATGGCCCTGCAGCAGCACTTGAAAAGAAAATCGAAAGTGATGAAGTGGCTGGAGCATCCTGCCTCTGCCTCTGGTTTCCAAGGCAACCAACGGGCCTGCTTCCCCAGCAGCGTCACGCTTGATTTGTGCGGCCAGAGATCTGATTGCAACGGTCCGTAGCCAGCGAGAGGGAGCGCTTGACCCTTCATCGGCAGGAGTGCAAGCTGGCCTGTAGGCTAGAGCGGGTGACACCCCCTTCATGGCCCCCCGCCCCCCCGGGAGGCTACTGCCCTTGGCAGCAGATGCAAAGGGTATCTGGAGCGGTTTTCCTTGCTGTTCAGGTGCATGGCCTTGAAATCCTGAGGGATCGGTTCGCCTGTGGCCAGTGATGCCCTGAGCATACTTGGTGGGGCCTGTGCCTCTGTTCCCAGGGGCTGTCTCCAGCGCTCGCTGGGGCATTGGCTTGAGGTCAAATAGCCCCTTCCGGTGGGTGGGGAGGGGGCATGCAAACCCCACATTCTCCCCAGCGTGCAAGGTACTGAAGAGAAAAGCACCAGCTCCTCTCCTGCTCTGCCTCCGGGTCTCTCTCTCTTCTGTGCAGCGCACAGGTAGGAGCTCTCAATTCGTCTGCCCACACCCTGCAAATGAGTCTCAGCATGTGCGTGTGAAGGCGTTAACGCCCCCGCCTGTGCTCGGCGCACCATGCTTCCTCCTGCGCCTCTCTGGGGCGAAGACTGACATGCGCCTTTGGAACCCGCATCTTCCCTGCTGCTTTCCAGCTCTCGCCAGGCGGAGGCTGGAGGAACCATGTTGGAGCCCTGCACCTTCTGGCTGCAAAGCAGGAGCAGCTAGCGCCCTCCCGCCCCCCATCAAAATACACATCCATGTAGCTTGCCCTGCCTGGCAGAGAGCTAGCGTGTGCCTGCCTTCGCGCCGCCTCCCACGTAATGTCGGGGGTGAAATCAGGCTGCTGCGAGCGCGGCGCGATGGTTCGGACCGTCGGGCAGTCCAGTTTCTGTCCATGGCCCAGATGACTGGGGTGGGGAAATGCTTCTCGGCTTCCCTCCTGGTAAGGGCTGAGTAGCCTGCAGCTAGGCATCTGCTTTCGGAGACCTTGCCAGAGCCTTCCTGTCCTGACTACGCAAGTTGTGACCCAGGGGAGGTGAATTAGCCAGGAGGCGCTCTCGAAGCGCCGGCTGTGCCGGAGAAGTCTGGTGTGAGTGAAGATGGACTGTGACTTGAAAGGAACGGGGGCTCCATGTTGGCTGCGAGGAAGGCTAGGGGTTGGGAGCTGAGATTTGCAAGCCGTGCGGGCTCGTTAGGCTCTGAAGGCAGGCTGGTGTCTAATTGTTCATCCCAGCCTTGCCCTTGTTGCTCCCTGTAGACTGCAGCAATCCTGCTGGGTTTCAGTCCAGCTTCTGTGCCCCTCGGCCAGCATGTCTGCTTCATGGGGACTCCCCCAAACCCACAGAGCGGCCAGCGTAGCTTCCCTCTCCTGCCGCTGGTCTGGTGTCAGGTTGCTGGGGGAAGAGAAGCTCCAGCTGAATCTGCCTGTCCTGGAGACCATGCTGTCTGTGAAGCGGGCTCTTAAACCACCCAGAACTCCTCCGGGAGGGGGCAGGTGGCTGTCCTAGTGGTGGGCCCCTAAGCAGCCCAATGACATTTGGGATTAAGCAGTGGACTAAAGCGCGTTTCCGTCTCATGCTCGCCTCCTGACGCAGCCGTGGCCCACGCCGCCTTGGCCTAGGCTTGCGCTGGGTGGAGGAGTAGCCTGGCCAGCAGTAGCAAACCAGCCTACTGGGAAACGCGGAAAACACGGCTCGGCAGGAAATCCCGTCGTCTGCTTCATTCTGTGAGGGGCTCTTTCCAGTAGGACTTGGGTTTCCTTTGTACTTCATTGACTTTCTCTCGCTTTACATGCTGATTAGCATATATACATATGTAAATGTTTGGCTTCATCTCCCAGAGGATGGAATCCAGCATGACTACAATACAGGGATTCAGGTTTCACTTGTTAATGAATCCTATTTTTACTCTCCTGGAAAGTAGGACAGGAGGAGGCACTAGCTGCTAGAAATTTCTAGCCCTTCCTTCAGACCTTCCTTCATGACTGGCAGCCTTCCTTGAGCATCTCACTTGCTCACTCCTGCCCCTGCCCTTCCTTCTCCCAAGGGCCTCAGCAGGCCCAGAGCCCGCCTAGAATCCAGGGCTTGGAAGAGCCCTCCGGAGTCATCGAGTCCAAGTCCCTGCCCAAAGCAGGACCAGCCCCAACTCAATCATCCCAGGCAGGGCTTTGCCAAGCCGGGACTTAAACACCTCTAGGGATGGAGATTCCACCCCCTCCCCGCCGGCTAGGGAAATATCCAAACTAGACACATGCACACCCTGCGACAAGAGATCATTGCTCCTCGTTCTACCATCCATCAGCACTGAGAACAGCCTCTCTCCAGTCTCTCTGGAACCCCCCTGCAGGGAGTTGCAGGCTGCTCTCAAATCCCCCCTCGCTCTTCTCTTCTGCAGACTAAACAACCCAAATCCCTCAGCCTCTCCTCATAAGACACGTGCTCCAGCCCCCTCATCGTTTTTGTTGCCCTCCGCTCAACTCTCTCCAGTGTGTCCACGTTCTTTCTGTAATGGGGAGCCCAGAACTGGATGCAACACTCCAGATGTGGCCTCCCCACAAAATTGCAGTGGTGACTGGTGGATCTGCAGTAGCTGTGCTAAATCACCCGGTAGTGGAGTTTTCTCTGTAGTCTCCTCTTTGAGAGCCGCCTCCCAAGGACTGGAAATCCACCAGCCAAGTCAGTGCAGGGTTTGGTACGCCTTGTACGTTGAGGGTCCATCAGTGGCTGGTGGCCAGGGAAGGTGTCCCTAGCGTCTGTTTGCCAGAAGCGGGGAATGGGCGATGGGAGGGATCACTTGGTGAGTCCCTGTTCAGTTCACTCCCTTTGGGGCATCTGGCATTAGCCACTGTGAGCAGACAGGACACTGGGCTGGCTGGGCCTTTGGTCTGCCCCAGCCTGGCTGCTCTTTTGAAGAGACCCAGAGGTAGGCATAACTACCGACTACAGTGCATTTGGGGCGGACCTGCTGGCTTTTCGTTTTAGGGATGTCCTGTGGGGTGAACCACATGGTTGTAACTGGCAAACCACCATAGCGTTCACATCCCCCCTGCCGCTCTCGTTCCACGTACGGTTGAAAGGCCTGTAGACCTGCCTGAATACCAAATAGGAACGTGCTGACTTTCCTGTCATGCCAGGTAGGCTGTGTCTGTTGTATGGTCTCTTCTCCCTGCCCCCCCAGCCAGGCTTGGAGAGCAAGAATCCTATTCTCTGTGTAGCCACAAGCAAGGCCCCCATGAACAAAAAGAAGTCTGCCAGAGACCCGTTAGGCAGGGAAAGGAAAGTCAGTGCATGTCAGTGCCTCCTTTTATTGGCGATGAAATGCTTTTGTAGGGAAGTGAGAGGCTGAACTGAAACCTCAGCACTCCGGGCAGATAATGGGCAAGCTGTTGCAGGAGCGTTTGCATTTCAGCTTCCCCTACAACGCTGGAGATCTAGAGACTTCCTATCCCACAAGAACGCTGAAGTTTCACAAGATATGTAGGTTTCCCAGGCCCTTCTGAGATCTCGGAGCCTCTTACGTCCCCACATTCCTCTCCGGTTTAGTCAGAATCTGAACTGCCATATTGGCAACTGCTGGGCTTTCCCCGTCCATGATCACCGAGAATTCTCCTTCCGCTTCTTTGGCGGGACTTGGGACTTCTCTCTTCTCCTTCCCAGAATGGACTGCTTCTTAACTCTCCCAAGCAGCCGGAGCTAGCCTCCGGTCCCTCAAGGTGGGGGTGTGAGAACCGCGGGAAGCCTGCACAGAAGGAGCCTGTGGAGCTGGGACCTCCTGCCGTGTGGGGCTACTCGCTTCCTTGCCCATCCATGCAACTCTGCATCTGCCATGGCTCCTCTGAGAACCAGCTTCAAACTCCTGGCAGGAAAAGCTGCCAGTGTGAAGCACTTTAAAATGCTGAAGTGTCACCAGACACTTCAAAGAGGCGATTCCACGGTCTCTGATCCAACTGCTTGTCCACGTTCTACATCTCCTACCCCTCCAACAAAGGGAGACTAGGAAATTATTCTGCCGTTGGATAAGAAGTGGGGCTTCATACGTACTAAATTTCATACCTTTTCAGTTGAAATGAATGGCATTTTCTTAAGTGCAAAAAGATCAAACGCCTTTTTCATGGAGGGGGGGAATCTTTCTAGACCGATCACGTTAAAACTTGAATCCCTTTCCTTTTCGCACAGCTTCCAAACTTTATTTTCAGCCGTGTTCACAAAGCTGGGTTCTGAACAAGGTTTACTCTTCCTTTGAATACGGATTGGTCCATCGCAGTAGGAGGAGACACGTGAATGACACTGTAATGAACTGCATGTTTTCACTGGACGGCCGTACTAAACCGGCACGGTTTTAGCCTTACCATGGCAGCAGCGCAAGTCTCTAACGTGACCATGATGGCATTTGTGTTGTGGAGGAGACCTGTCCCGGGTTACTTCAGGGGAGGAGGGCGATGGTTTAAAAAACCCAACAGGCTGGTTTACCTTCCCAAGAGCCCATTCTGGATCTCTTCCAGCCCCTTGGCGACCAGTTCAAATGTGTCCCGGGCTAGAGGCCCAAACCTGTTTCTAACGTGGACCCGTGCACTTGGCAAGCTAAGCGTCCCTGGCGCGCCCTGGGGAGGGGCGTCGGCCCGAAGACCTGAGCACTGATTGGATGCAGGCAGAACTTGTGGGGGTAGCTTGTGCTGCCCATTGTGGGTGGACGGTGCACTCGCTGACGTAAAGCAGCCCTACAGTGGCTCCAGTAGGCTGGAGGAGACGTTGCCTCGCCTTTAGACCAGATCCCAGTGTGACGACAAGTCGGGTGCCGTGGGACTCCCTGTTGAAAGACCGACAGATTTATTTGGGCATCAGCTTTCATGGGCAAGAGCCCCTTTGTCGGGGCCGCTCCGAGATTGACACATGGGGTTTTACCCGCGGAAGCTGATGCCCAATAAACGTGAGCCTCTAAGGTGCCGCCAGACTCCTTGCTGTTTTTGCAGCTACAGACTAACCCGGCTCCCCGTCGGAGATGTCACCATGTTGATGAAAGTTCCCTTTCCCAGCGAGAGAGGGGCCCCTCTCTGTTCTCAAACAGCCCCTGATAAACAGCACTGTTGCCTTTACCAAGCTAATGCCGGGGAGGATTGGCTTTCAGGGTTTAATTACTGTTCAATCCCTGGCACAAAAGCAGGGGTTTAATATTTAATGCTGGGAGAGCAGTCTGTCAGGGGACCCATCTGCTCTCCGTCGGTGAGACTTCTTTGAACTCTCCCGTCACTTCCCATGGGGGGTGTCACCCTTCTGGGCATAGGCCGCAGAACTGCCTGTTGCGACCGGCTCGCAGGGGGGCCTGCTGCTCTGCATGCCGGATTTGCAGCCGCCCAGCAGCGTGGTGTCACCGAGGAAGCAATCTGACAACTGAAGCCTGACCTTTTGAATGCTTAATCCAAGGGCGTTGCTGCTTCAGGCTGGTGGGGTTATGGGGGGTGCATGTGTGGGGCAAGAGTCACCCTTTATGGAGAGCTGGAGGTGGGAGTCTTCAGCCTCGCTGAATTGTAATGCAGGGCCCGGTTTGTACGGCTACTCGGCCCTGCCCATTACAGTCCTGGGGATCCACTGGCCCTTCTAGGGGATGGCTTTGTAAGGGGGCTGCGCAGCCCTGGCACGTCTGTTCCAGGGCAGGGGGAGATGGGGAAGGCGTCCATCTGGCTCCTGAGCGACTGACGTGCTGCGAGGCCGTTAGACTCTTGATCTGATTAATAATGGCATTTGGCGCTCAGCGGCTTCTCCGGGCAGATGGCGACTTAGAGCAGCGTGAGGGGCGATGGATTAGAGGGGGCGGAGTTCCAGCGAGACGGGAGGAGGCGGAGGGGTGACGCATCGAGCGGTTTTGCTGTGATCCCGCCACATAGTGCTAGCAGGGTGGAGATTGGGGGTCAAGATCCACGGCCCTTTCACTTGCAGGCTGCACGTTCTCTTCTTCCTGTCGGGCTGTTGCATGGCTCTCTGACTCTGGGAGAAAGTGCTTGGTTCTCAGCCCTGTAGACATGCATCTCCTGCCTGCCTGCAGGTCAGAGTGCAGGATCTGTCACGCGGCTCGCTGCCAATGTACCTCGATCCTGCCCTGTGTGTGCGGAGGCAGTAAATCATTCATGTTCATTCCGGCCGTGCTGGAGTGAGCGAGGGGTGAAAGGCTCCGGATCCTACTTCCGGCCCCTTGAGCCATCCCGTTGTGGGTATTTGTCATGGCTGTGTGTACCGAGTGGGGCACATTCTGGCTGCAGCCATGCTAGAGATGGTTTTGTAGACCCACCAGACCATCTCCTGAGCTCAGCAGCCTGGATGCCCTCAGAAGTGACACCCCCCTGGTCCCTTTACTTCCTGCCGCTGAGCAATGGGGACGAGGCTCCCACATTCACCTTTTTTGCCAGACACTCCAGACTCTGCCCTCGGGAGAAGCCTCCGGGGGCAGAAACCAGAGCAAGATGTTTCTTGTTCATTAAAAGCTCTGCTTGCGATGGGGGGCGGGGGGCTGGCGCCTCGGAGGGCTTCCGGCCAAGAGGGACGCCACACTGACACTCGGCACCTTGGACTCTTTGCAGCTGGTTTCGTAAGAAACACGCTCAGGCAGAGGCCCTGGTCCCCATCCCTCCCAGCCCAGAGACAAAGGACAGGTGGAGGAGCATGACGGTGGTGCCTTATCTGGAAGATCTCCATGGCTACAATGAGGAAGAGGATGATGACTTGTATGACATTGAAGATGAGATCATCTACACTCAGGACTTCACAGTACCAGGTATGTGAGAGGGGTGGGGGAGGAGGCTGGGGGAGAAGGCGATAATGTTCCAGGCCAATTTTAAAACCTTCTGGAGAGAGCGTGGGGTTTGTATGGCCAGATGCTTTCAGTAGCGGAGAAGCCTATTGATCACTGACTGATGCACGGTCTTTAGACAGCCATGGAGCACCGGGAGCATCAGTCCCTTAGTTCTTAAATAAAACCTCCTTTCCTGTGTGCTGCCCACACGGCAGTTTCCTTCAGTGCCTCCGGCAGCAGCCTCTGGGTTTGATTGTTCAGCACGCTTTGTTCCGCAGCCCATTGTACAAGGCCATCGCAAACCCGTTCTGAAGCCCACACGCAAACCACCGTCCTCCAGGTGTCCCCGATCCGGGAACACTCATGGTACAGACCCTGGTGGGGGCAGAGGAAGCAACTCTATAGGCTACTCCCCTCCATTCCAGCTGGGGCAATGGCATCGTGCTTTTCCCCACCACTCCCGTAGCGGCGGGGGGCGGTGTCTGTGAGCAGTAGGGGGTGTGGAGCCATGTGCTGCCCCTGAGAGCAGGAAAGCGCTCCACCCCCATTCCCCTCGTGCACCCTCCATGCTCCAAAAAATTCCTTAATCCAGGGTTGCTGGATTAGAGGTGCAGGTGTGCTGGGTGGGGACCGGCGCGTCGGTGCTCAGAGGCGTGGTTAACTTTCCATTTTATTGCGGCTTGTTCCCCGCCCCAGTCTCTGAATCTCCTTACAGGAAAAAATCCTCCCCCCTCCCCCCCGCCAGTTCTACAGCTCAGTAAGCAGCCTGCGAGGGTCAGAGCCCGTAGCCAGGCAGCCCCCAGTGGTCTTCGTGCTGTTGCGGATGGGCTGGCGGTTGCTTTGCAAGGTGCTGCACTTGCTGCCTGGACAGGAGCTGTGTGGCTGGTGTCTTGAACAGCGTGGCTCTTGGGCCGGTGGAGTGTGGTTACTTAGCTGTCGTGGTAGCCGGTGCAGTGGTTCAGAATGGGTTGGATGCCACGGCTCTATGCCGAAGTGACTGTAAGTGTCTGGGGAGACTGCTGGCTCTGAGGTGTGGGTCGCCAGACTGAGCCACGTGGCCAGAGATGATCTGTGCTTGCCAATAGAGGGACTAGAGGCGGACAGAGGGCAGCTGGCTTCAGCAGTGTTACTGAGCATGCTCAGTACAAGCCAAGCAGGGAATGAGGAGGCAGGGATGGGACACATGATC